AGGGAGAGATATGGGTCTACATGCATTCTCCTGCATATGGATAGCAGTTTCCCAGATCCATTTGTGAATGAGGCTATCTTTTCTCCAGGATATGTGTCTGGTTCTTTTGTCTGACACTAAATAACTAAATGCACCTGGGTTTGTTGTTGCATTTTCTCTTCTGCTCCATTTGACCTCCATGTATGTTTTTGTGCCAGTACGATGCTCTTTTTATTACTATAGCTTTGTAGTAATTTGTAATCTAGGATTATAATGCCTCTTGGTTTGTTCTTGTTGCTTTGTATTGATTTTACTGCTCTAGGTTTATTCTCATGCCATACATATTTTGGAATTGTTTTTCCTAGTTCTGTGAAAAATGCTGTTGGCTGTTTTGACAGCAATTGATTCTACCTATCCAGAAAGAGGGGAATGTCTTTCCATTTTCTGGTGTCCTCTTTGATCATTTTTGTTTTGTAAAATGCTCATTTTTATTATAGAGGTCTCTTGCTTTCCTGGTTAGTTTAATTTGTAAGTGTGTAACTTTTTGAAGCTGTTGTGAAAGGGCATCATTTTCGTAATTTCTTTCTTAGTGGGTTGATTATTGGCATATAGTAAAGCTACTGAGTTTGTGTTTTGTCTCCTGCTATTTTGCTAAATTTGTTTATTACTTCTAGAAGTCCTTTAGGGGGGATTTTTGGATTTTCTATGTAAAGGATTGTGTAATTTACAAATAAGGATAATTCAATCTTGTCCTGTATGTATTCTGTTTATTTTTTTCTTGCTTGATTCTTCTGAGAAAAGTTTCAAGAACTACAGTGAGTACGAATTGTGAGGGTAGAAACCCTTGTCTTGTTTAAGATTTCAGAGTAAAACCTTTCACCTTTTTCTGATACTTTGCTGTTGTTTCCTAATCCAAAGAGGTTGCATGCTAGGATTAATGGTCACACTTACTGTCCATTCTGGTTCAGAGTTCCTCAGATGACGAATGTGAGTGGCCCAGTTTTGTTGCAGTGTTCAGACCAGATCCAGCCATAAAATAAACACAAGAGAAAAGCATGGCTGCTAACGACACATCCCTGTGGATGGAGGGCACAGAGGGGTCAGTTCTCAACTAAAGGACGACTTAGATGTCTTCCACCTGTGCAGAAAGGTAGAGTCAAAAAAGCAGACAAATAACAGAACCTGGCAATGCATCAGACAAATGGCATTGAACACAGGCCCACTGTCTCAAACAGGAAGCATTTCACACAGCTCCCCCTGGAGCTGGTGCTGCAGGGCATGACCTTGGGATTAATTGGATTTAGTGGGATTAACTGGCTTCAACTGCAGGGCATGGCCACAGGACTAACTGGGGCACGTTTGAATTCCAGGTAGATCACTTATCAACTGTATAACTATGGACATATTTCTTGACCGCTCTGTGTCTCACTTCTTATATCTGTAAAGCAAAACTAATAATAATTTCCTATCAATATAATAAGATCATTTTGACAAAATAAAACAATGCATGCAAAGCATTTAGTATAGTGCTTAGCATCTGAGATTAAAAATATGTTAACTGGGCCAGGGATTTAGCTCAGCGGCACAGCTCTTGCCTAGCAAGGACAAGGTTGTGAGTTCAATTCCCAGCATCAAAAATAAAACAAAACAAAAATAAATAAAAACATGTTAATTATGATTTTTATTTTAGTCACTGTGTAGCATCACTCTGTACCTAACTGAACCTGGTGTTCTTCTTTGTGAAGTTTATTCATGTTATAAATTTTGTGACTTTCAGTATTTCAAGACTTGATTCCCTCTCTAGGGTCCAGGTTTTTTCTTTTTCTTTTTCTTTTTCTTTTTCTTTTTCTTTCTTTCTTTCTTTTTTTTTTTTTTTGACTCCCATTGAATGCTGAACACTGAGATTCAAAAGAACACAAACTGTATTTGTATTCTTTTCTTTCCAAATTCTTCCACTTGCCAATGTTCTGAATTTAACTGCATTAACTTTTTTTTTCAATTTAGTTCAGAAACCAGGGGCAATGAGAATCACAATTTCCAGAAGATGTGGGTCACTTGATTTGAAACCATTTCCGGCTTCTCTTTCACATCCTCAATCATAACATTCACCAGATACTTTTTGTCTTTTTCATATAATTATGAGCATGGGACTAATAATAACCATTTTAGGGGGCTAAGTGCCAGAGACTATTATCAGTACTTCTGTAAGTATTAATCAACTTAATCCTTTAGCAACTTAATGGGATAGTGGCTGTTTTAATTCTCATTTTCAAGTATAGAACCAAGACTTCAAAAGTACAGTCCTTTGAGGTCACCACTAGCAACCAGCAGTAAGCAGCCATTCATACTCCAGGATCCTTCCTCCCAACCCCCAGCCACACTGCTGCTCTTGGTAACCCTCGATCATCCAACTCTGTCTCTCTCTGTGACTTCCACCGCCACTGGGGCAGTGGCTCACATTACCTCACGCTTCTGTTACTGCAGTAGATTCCTAGTAATGCTCTGTGACTTTGCTCATTGTAATACAACTTGGAGACTGTTGCTAAACTGCTCTTTCTTAAACATGATTCTACTATGTCATTGTAAAGCTTCTATGACTCACTGTTGCCTATGATTTATGAAAAAAATCTCATCCTTGGTTTTTTAGACTTTATGTAATCTGGTCCCACATTATTTATTAAGCTTTATTTTGTCATCCACTACCTCCACAAACATGCTATTCATTCCTGCCCCTGGGACTTCATTCATCTCTACAGGTCCAAACTTTACCAATCTAAAAATATCCTGGCTCTGTGAACCCCTGATTTCTGATCTCTTTCACAGGATTCGACCTGTCCTTCCCTAGGACTCTCAGAACACTACCTCTCTTAGGAGACCATATTCTGCCATATTCTGTGTTATAGTTATTTGTACATTTTTCTCCTTTCTCTTTGTTGGCAGACAGACTGTGCACTTCACTAATTTACAGCCCTCCTGCAGTGGCTTTTTCAGTGCAAAGCACCAAGAGGTAGTCACTAAATAGATACAATTAATACAAGGGAATTTTAGTTCTGCCTCCAGGATATTTCTGCTTTCCTTGTGGTTTTGTTGAAGTCTTGCACACACAGAAATCTCACTGCCAAGCCAAGGGTGGCAGAGGATGTTTCTAACTCTGGGAGGCTGAAGCAGGAGGTTCACAAGTTTGAGCTCAGCTTGGGCAGTTTAGTGACTTCAAGAGATCCTGTCTCAAAATAAAAATAAATGAGCTAGAGATTTAGCTTAATAAGAAAGCACGAGTTCTATTCCTAGTGCCACCAAAAATGAAAAACCGCAGTCCCCCCAAAAAAAGACAACAGAAACTTCACTTCTTAAATAAAGTTCTCTTGAATGTCTGAGTTCTTAATGAAACTTACTTTTTCAGAATTCTTATAACACTGAATATTGTTATTGTGTCTTTGTCCATTCCTTTAATTATAGGAAAATTCCTTAGGCTGCATGGATGAAGTAAATTTCTGAAAGTTCTGGAGGCTGGGAAATCCAAGACCAGGACAGGAGCAGATGTGATATTTGCAAATGAACTACTCTCCCTGCTCCCAAAATGGTGCTTCCTTGAGGTGTCTTCACATGGTAGAAAAGAGCCAAAAAGGAGGAAAGAGATGGCTCTCCAGTGGCCAGGTGGCCCTCAGAAGCCTCTTGACAAGGGCATGACATGACTTCCAGTGGGTGAAGCCCTCTGCAGCTTAATCACTTCCCAGTCAGCCCCATTTCACAACAGTGCCATACTGGGGTCGTCAGCGTGAAATTTGGAGGAATGGAGACATTCAAACTATAGCACCATATTGCTTACTACTTTATTGTTTATGTGGCATATTCGTTGTTCATGTATTGCTAGTGTATATAGAATCTCAAGAAATAGTGTTGAATAAATGACCAAATCAAACTTGCTTGCCAATTATAAGGTCTCTAAAATAGGAACCACACCTTGCATATTTTCGGGGTCTCTGCACAGCTCCTAGAATGTAATAGGGACTTCTTGAATAGTCACTGACTGGCTCATGGATTTCCATTGCTAAGCTGCCCCGTGTTCACTGCTGTTTTGTCCTGAGTGCGATCACACTGAAGAAACTTTGAGTTCTATTGTTTCAGTTCCCAACCTGGGCAGGAGCAGGCTACTAACACATACAGGTCTTTTTTTTTTTTCTTAACCTTTTAAAAAATTTTGTCCTTAACTCAGGACAAATCCCTGGACAAAGACATGGAAATGCTAGAGAGCTGGGAATTGTGAATGCAGACTTTTGACTAAGAATGACTCAGTAGCACTTGTTAGGGTTAGTTGCATATAGTTGGGGTTGGGAAGCCCTTCTGTAGGTACTTTATACTGTGCAGAAGGAGGGTGATATACCACCATCACAATGCAGCAGTGAATGACTAAGGCATCTTCCAAAATGGCATGAAGCCTTTCAGTAGATGTAAAACATCAATGCAGATAACATTCATCTACTACAATCATAATTTTTATAAATCATCCATCCAGTATGGCAGAGAGAAACAGTGACTAGTATTTGAAAGTCTTGCAGAAAAAACTCACTTACTGATGAGTGCGAGGAAAGGGAATGCTGAGCTAAGTATGCGTCTCACATGATAGCATGTACCTCACGCCTTCTCAGCAGCACTAGATGCTGGGAGATGGTGAAACGGTTTGCAAATCAGAAGGCCTTCAGGTTTTGCTGTTTTGCCTGTGCTCTCCAATGATGGTACTCAGTGCCTTGGGAAGAGTGGTTCCTGGGGTCGGTAGAATATAGTCCTTAGCCTCTCTTCCTAGTCTTGCTTCTAATTCAAAAAAGAAAAAAAAATGTTAGCTGCAACCAAAGCATATTTGGTGTTTCAAGACCCCCCCCCCCCACACACACACACCAAAAAGTAGCATTACAGCAAACAGTACACTGGACAAGATGTAGATTCTTTAAAATTAATATTTTATGGTTATTTATTTGCTATTTCCCTGGCTTATGTGCTTAAAGAAGTCTTTGTTTTAAATGCAGGTGAACCAAGGACATATGACTCAAATTTTAAGGGCCCTGTTACCAACAGGTAAGAAATTCTTAAAATATCTATTTTTTTTTGAAACACAGAAAGCTTATTTTGTGGTTACCATTTTCCAGTCAATGAAGAATTGTGCCTACTGTAAAGTGGATATGACTTATTTCTGTCTAAATGTCACCTCACTTCACAGAGAAAGGACAGAGAATAAATCTTTCCATGAATCATGAATGTGTTCCCCTGTTCAGTAAATGAACTGCCTTAAGCTCTGAGAGTTTGTATTTCTCAAAAGAAGAAGCCAAAAAAAATCTTCATGAGGTTTAATCACTTGGTGGAGCAGCAAACCCAGATGACTACTTGCTTACTATGTGACTCACCACTGCAAACGCAGAGAGGCTATGCCAGCTTCTTCCATGCCAGGTAGCCATTCAGCTCCCAGACACAGAGCACTTTCTTAGATACCACATCACGCACACTATAGGATACCTTCAAATGCTCTAGGGAAATACGGTTATCTCAGCTTGTGCTTTCCTGCTCCCAAATTATACAGCATGCAAAAATTAGCAAATACTTCATAGTTCTCTTATTATTTATTTTACCTTCCATCCCAGGCCTCTGCTAATCAAAAAGGGGGGTGGCAGGTGGAACCGCTGAGTATGAAGAGACGATTATGCTGTTAGTAGCTGGCTGTTGCTTAGCAATGACTTTGATTTTCAGCAGTTGTGTGTCATAATAAACTGTGATGGGCAATAATGATCCACAAGCTCATTTGCACTTGCCAGGCATCACTATGTGCATGAGCTGTGATGACTGTGATGTCCCTGTGATTCCCCAGCTTAAACCACTGTGTCGTTGGCTCATTGTAATTCTGTGAGAAGCCTAGTCATTTTGTTTAGGCCCATTCACAGATACACTTGGAGCAAAGGTGCCTTCTTTAGAATGAATCCGAAACCTCATTCTCTCCACCATGACCCCAGGAGCACATTTCCGGTGTACAAACAGCTTCATTCGATGTGGTGCTTACTTTCACTGTAATTGCAATCACTTAACATTACTAATTTGTGAAGATTTAATATAGCCTAGCAGCCTCAAGGGACCACTAGATATAACTGAGATTCACTAGTAATAATAATTATAATGGATAAGCTGCCACATTTGCATTGAGGAAATAGAGACTTCACATGTGGCTTTCCTAGCTGTGGGGAAGACAGAAGGTTAAGGCTGGCTGGGGTTATGTAGCAAAGACAGAGATCCCTCTGTCTTCAGTTTACCATCCTCTGTTGCATAACATCATTTTGGTCAACACTGGATCATGTGTACAATAGTGGTTCCCTAAGATAGGTGAAAAACTTTTGTCACCAGTGATATCACAGCCATCACAGTGTCTTAGTACAGCACATTGCTCATATTTCTGGTGATGCTAATGTGCACAAAGCTGTTTAGGTACATTTAGTTACACAAATATTGCTGAATTACAGTTACCTACAGTGTTCATTTCAATGACACACTGTACAGGCCTGTAACCTTGAGCAATACTCATACCCCACACAGCCTATGCAAATAGTTGGTTATGTCATTTAGGTTTGTGAAGTCACTCCATGAATTATTTACAGAGATGAAATCTCCTGATACATTTCTCTGAGCCGATGCCCTTTGTTACATGACTCATGACTGTGTTAGGAATTTAAAGATGGAACCAGAAGTCCAGATAAATTCCAAGGGACTCTGAAGACCTCTGGGAAGTGGGGAATGCTGAGAGTCAGGTGTGATGGTCTTTTGGAATGTCATAGGCACTGCAAAGTTCAAACATGTGTTGGTTATTCTGTGGAGTTATCTTCCCCGCCCTTCATTCCAAGGTCAAGGGAAAGTATTAAAAAGAACAGGGCATGGCTACATGGAGCCACTTTAGAATTGTGAGTCACATTTTTTGAGGCAGTGGGCTGTATCGTGCTCTCAGTAGGACAAAATTGGAGCATTTAAAGAGCAAATGCTAGGGGCTGGGGGTTTTAGCTTATTAGCAGAGCATTTACCTAGCATGTTCCAGGCCCTAGGTTAAAAATTAAATAAAAACAAGTGTGGTTCGCCAATTCTTTGCATTACCTTTCAGAGCAGAGCCAGCTTTAATTACACCTTGGGCCATGCTCCTGAGAACCAAGGCCTTATCAGCCATGCAAGCAGAGCCGGGCAGGTCTCTCTGCCCCCTCACGGGTCTCCTCTGCTCTCTTCACCCTCTCTCAGCTCACAGGGACACATTTCACGGCTGCATGTCAGTGTCTCATTTGTTCCCACCTACTACAAATTAGGAATGTGGAGCTGTTGCACCATAATATTGACAAAAAATTGATGTTGATAGTTTAAGGGTTTTCCTAGTGACTTTTGAAAAAGTAGGTCTCCAGGCATCATGCTTTGTCTTCTATTCTCAACAGAAAAAAATAAAAGATTGGTTGGTGTTGGATTGATATTGTACAAGGGAAAGTGTTATTCTGCACTCTTTTTGGCAGTACATTAGAAGGTGGAAATTAATGTGCAGAGAAAACCCAGGAATCAAAGCTCTTTTATAAAATGATACATGAGCAATTCCTCTTGTAATTTAGAACTAAGAAAATTTTCCATTTAGAGGGGAATCAGTGTACTTTTTTCTATTAAAAAAGGAGAACTGTATAACCCACTGCTTATTTCTTTTTTTTCTTTCTTCTTCTTTTTTGTACTGACTTGTAGAAAGCCCATTGCTACATTTAGTTTCAATGTCAGCAACTGTACTAGCCTTTGAATCAAGAATCTCTTTTCAGGACTTTGAATTTCTATTTCTATTTTAATAATTCCATTGCATCCAGGTGCTTTGAGCCATTTCAAGATCCTTTTTGGAAACAAGGCAATGTTTGTAGATCAGTAAATAGAAATGAAAGCTTTTCATGTTACTCAAGGTACCTTTTCCCCTTTATATGCAACATAGATGAGGGACACATCAGTTGTACCAGTGAAATGGGTAGGGTTCACAGTACTGAAAACAACTATTATTATACAGGGTGGTAAAACTCTAAAATTCAGTAGGATGCATTTATTTTTACCTGAAGCATTGAACAGTGCTAAGTTCACTGTCATGAAGAAGTTCAAGGAGAAAGTTATCAGGGATGTTATGGAAGGGATTCATCCATGGAAATAAGAGGAACGAAATGACCTCGAGTCTTTTCCAGTCCTGCGATTCTGTGACACTGTGATTGAACATTTAATGTTGAGAGGCAAATGAGTTCAGCTTCAGGCTAAGAGGTGAGCACTATGAAGTCTCTCCTTGCTCTTTGGCATTCTCAAGTAGACATCTCAGGTTATTGTGATTACACAGTACTATCTCCTGGATTTATGCAGTTCTCGTGCTTGCTTCTGTTGAGGTAGCTGGTGTGCTTCTTGTTTCTGTAAAAGGGACTGAGAAGAGTAGGGTTTGTGTCTATAAGGAAGTGTGAGGAAAAGGTTATGAAAAGAAAAACACAAATTCCAAGCAAAAAATGCAAGTCTCATGTAAAAGTGTCTGAAGAGATTACAAACTGTTTTCATTTGAAAAATAGCTTGAAATAAAAAGCTGGTATCTATAGCACTTCCTTTGAGAACTTTAAAAGTGTCAAAATATGGAAGGAAATAAAAATATGTAATTGCCTCTGTTGGCCACCTCTGCAGAATGGAAATGTGAGCTGAAGTGCTGCAAGGAGACATTTGTAATCACTCAGAATGGAGCAAATGGTGATCAATGATTTATTACTGTTACTGTTTTGCCACAGGAAAATATAGACTAACACACTTCTTGAATGCTCCTGGCATGTCCCATTGGTTTCTCATGTGGGGAACTATTCCTGATGATGAAGTTCATCAACCTCTAAATTTCGTAAGCACTTTGTATTAGGTGACTTAAAGAAAAATATTTTTGGCTATGTACTTCTTATGGCCTAGGCACTGTGCTAGATACTCAGAATAAAAAAGACCAACTAAGCAGAGTTCCTGCCTAATGGGCTTGCAATTTGGTGGGTGAAGGAGGTAGTAAAGGGGTGGATGTGGTCAGGCAATTAATGGAGCTATTGACAGAGGTTCTGGAAATAGTGCTGGAAAGGAGGGAAAGGAAATCCAGGAAGCTTCCTAGCAGAGGTGACCGCTGAGCGTGTGCTCTGAGACATGGTCAGAAGATTCAACAGCACACATCAGAGTGGAAAGGCCCGAGCACACTTGTACCAGAAGTGTTTTGGTGTGAGCAGGACGCTGGGTGTGCCTGTGTAAGTGATGAGGGGCAGGAGTATCAGGAATGGAGGTGGAAAATGATACTGAAAAGGGAAGACTGGGAAAAATCACCAAAGGCGTGTGACATCGATGTGTTTAGAACTTAACTCTCTGCACCTGCCTACTGAGGAACTTTTAGATAAGAAGCTGTTGTGTTTCAGAAGGAGAGTGTCCCTCAAAGGCCCAATGTACTCGGGAGCTTGTGGGCGGGATTAGATTATGGGGGTGACACAGCTGGCTTGCAGGTAGCAGACGGAGGCTGGTGGGGAGGAGTCGTTCTCCACGGGTGTCATTCTCCATGGCTTGTCCCTTTGCTCTCTGCTTCCCGGACACCATGGCATGAGCAGCTTTTCCTCTGCTGTGCTCTCTGCCATCCTGTCTCTGCCTAGGTGCCAGCCAACCACAGACTGAAAATATGAGCCCAAATAAGCCCCTCCTCCTTTAAATGGGGGTGTCAGTGTTTTGTCACAGCTTCAAGTGCCTTCTACACATGATCCAAAGGTTTCACGTTACTCCTCTTCGTTTTGTGTGTGCTTGTGTTTGGGGAGGAAAAGTGTTGCTGTCGAAGACTGCTCTGTAGTGAGGTAAACACGACATGGATGTGCAGGGTACACTGGAAACCCTGCAGAGAGGGGGAGTCATGTGGCAGGGCGGTGCAACCCATCTGGGATGGCCATTCCTGAAGGACAGTGAAAGACCTGTAAGACTTTTCTCCCTATAGGAAATGGCAAAGGGTAACCCAGAGAGAGCCAGGTGTGGAAAGGAAGAGACTACGATTCATGTTAGTATTG